CCCCAAAACCCCAAAACCCCAAAACCCCTAGATACTAATTTTTTCAAATTTGAAAAGCTAAATTAAAAATAATTAAGAATAAATTAATAAATCTAGGATTATTATATATAAATCTGACTTCATTCTAGATAGAGTTCCTTCGTTAAGCAAATTATATTCAACTTACTTAGCTCATGAACTATATTTTTTCCATTATCTTATTGATGAAAATTTGAGAGACTAGTCTAGATGATATCAAAAGCCATGTTAATTCTCTGTCGTTTAATCATTTTTGTCTCTTTTCATATGTTTAGTTCATTTCAATTTATAATAATTCTCTAGTAGTTAATATGGATAGGTTGGGTATCTTCTTGTATTATTTGCCCTAGTTATCATTTCTTGATTAATTCCTAAATGATTAATAAATTCTTGCTTGATAGTTCTAAACTTAAATTTGTTATCTATTAAGTTTATCATCCTAATTCTTAATTTAATTTCCATCCTAATTATTTGCCTTCAACGATTTGAACAGTCCGAATCTTCTTTAGAATAAGCCTAAGTTATTGAATATTAAAATTCGAAAGAAGCTAAACATCCATCGCATCATAAATAAGATATTAGTTGCAAGTATCAGTGCAAATATTGTAACTTGAAAATTTTCGCTCAAATCTGTATCACTATCTATGAATATGACTCCTCCAATCAAAATTGAGATCTATTAAAGGTTGATTTTATTTAGGCTATTGATATTAACTTACAGATGCATAGATGCTGTAGCGATCAATATTATTCATTTAGGGATCAATATATGGGTTTCTGTTATATGACATTTGAATTTCCACAAATAGTATGAATATCCCAGCAAGAGCCTAAAAATATTACAAATATGATCAATATTTTACTCTTAATTTTGGATTGAAGGATGAGAGAACCGATGAAAATGATATAAAAAGCAATTTTTTCCCATTAACATAAGTTAATTCCCAATAAAAGTTTTTGTCTTAGAGACCACTATAGAAAAGTCCATACTATTTGATTATTTTTTCATCTGATAGATTATTCTTGTATCTCAATAACTGAAGAGATATAAATATTGGAAAGCATAGAGACCATAGAAATATAAATGGAATAGCAATAGCAGTTGAAAATTTATAGTGTTCATTAGACCAGCATTGAATACTCATATCAGATCTTAGGTATTGATTTCCATCATCTAAACTAACACAGCTAAATAAAGAGAAGCTATTCTAAGTAATTATTGGATAGCAAAGATATGCAAATAGAATGATTGAGGTCTTGAAATTGGAAAAATAATTGCTTTTATCCATAAATTTGAAAGCTCTAGCTGCATTCCATACAAACCAAGCTATACCACTTAGAGCAATAGGAAATATTCCATTAAGTAAAACAAATAAATAGGCGTGCTTTATAGTGGCTTCAATGCCTGTATTTTTCAGAAAACATTCAAAAGATACGATCTTTGAGAATCCTTGTCCACCAGCAGAGAAGTACTCCAGAAATGTTAAAACTTGCTAAGGCCAGTTCAATTAGAAATCTTTAACCATCATTAGTATCTAGAAGTAATTTGTAAGGATTCTCATCAAAAGGGTCTGAGGATTATTTCTCTTTGGTTTTCTTATGAGTGAGCTATAATGAATAATATATTCTTAATCTAATTACTAAAGCATATAGATAATGTAAAGTGCTAGTGCAATTATAACTCCTGACAATATTGCTATCTACTCTGATTATGATAGGCACT